GAGTTCTTCCGGGACCTATACCAGGCAGCTGCGGAGCCGCTGGCAGCTGGTGCCGTCACCAACTCTGAGAACCTAGCCTCTTGGGCATCAATTAACATGTACTGAGTTTGTTTTGTTCCTGGGCTTGAAGCTGTGCGCATAAATTGTCTTTCTCTGTGTTTGTTGTGTGCGCCCGTGCAATTTTGAACAGCTAGGTGGTTCCTGAGCATACTGGGAGCATCGACTCAGAAGCGTGCAGAACCCAAGAGCTCATGACGTGGTGTACTCTTGGAGCACTTTCTGGAGGGCATATCAAAGTGGCAAGATGTCCTCCAACCTCGTGCCAAATCAGACCTGCTTTGAACTTCAGAGTCAGCTGTGTGCCAAGCATACCATGTCTCAGGTCAAGCTCAATTTGGCCAACGCATGGCGCATTCAATTGCAGCATCAACACCTTGACCGGCAAATTTATTGGGCTTTGCGGCACAGTTCTAGGCAAAAGAACTCTGGCATTCTCACCTTGATCATCGACAGCATGGACAAGAAAGAAAACTGTGTGGCCCAAGTGGACCTTTGGCAGGCCCAGCAAAGAAGTTGAACCATTCGGTGCTCGCTCATGGCTATGTCAACTACTTTGCCTCGCTCCAGACGAGTTTCCTCATGGTGCTGATACCTATTGCGAGGTTGTTTGCCAAGTGATCCAGGTGGGCTCATTCAGCAGTTTCCTTGTGGGCATTTTTCGCTGCTGGTGTCCCAAGTTATCCGGCGGTACCGCTACGAAACTGTGCAGGATCTCCAGCAGTATATGGAAGCTGTCCTTGGCCCAGCATTTCAGGCCCGTGGTGACACATTCCTTGTGCGAGAAATGACAGCAGTCAGCAAGTTCACAGAACGGTTAGCCCCACTGCGCATCACTCAACATGGATGTTGGCAAACTCGAGATGGCACCACACAGCTTTTCTTACAAGCTACACATGGGTCTGTCCAGTGAGGAACAGCAGATGGCAGAGAGCCATCGCTGGTTCTGATGTGCTGCGTCAAGGCCTACAAGCAACAGCCAGCGATTTGTGTGCTTCCTGCAGACAGGGTGGATTTGGTGCACACGGTGTCTCCCGCTGGCTGCGTGGGACCTTCCATCGAAGGACAGTGAGAAGGAGCGTTTTCTTGCCTTTGCGACTTCCATTCACAGCCCGCTGTATGGCTACCACAAAGCTGCTGCTGGTCTTCGGTCCTCGGCCCAGCAGCCAGTTTTTGAGCAGCGCGCAGATTGGCTTTCAAATCCAGCTGGGAGGCAGCCATTGGACGGCCCAGTTTTTTCAGCCACTTGCCAGAGACATTGTGGCACATGCAAGTGCGGACGCGCCGATAAGGTGATACTGAGGGGAGATGTGGCTGGCCAGGGAACACATGAGTTTGACAGCTTTTCTGATGGGCGACAGGAAGCTCACAGTAACAGACACAAAATGTAGCAGAGCTGCAAAATCCCATATGTTCCAAAACCTGTGTTCCACGAAACCTGGGTTCCATGAAGGGTGGTTTGTGGAACGGCCTTTTTTGGAGGAACTGTTTCCGGAACACTTGTCCTAAGGTTTTCTCAAATATTTACAGCTGTTTCTGGTATTTGTTGCGAATGGGGTGAGTTGTCCTGTAGTAGGCGTTGGGCAAACAATATCATCTTGTGAGGAGCGCCTTTTTCCCTCAGAGACAAAACAAATTGAAGGGCCCCCCCAACATCCGCAAAAAGATGTATACTGCTTGTCTTTTTGGGGTGGCCATTCATTTATTGGTTTATTGGGAACCCTTAGTGCATTTTGGGATCTAGAAATGGCCTTGGTAAGTGCAGAAGGTGGGGGAACCTGGCCCTTTTTGGAGGCACATTTTTTTAAAATTCCGCTCCCGCACTCTGCGCAGGCTGCAGGGTCCTGCTGGCGGGCGTGGCCCAAAGCCCCCAACGGTTGGACCCACGCAAAAACACCAAGGGCCATGGACCATGTTTTCTTTGGGCATCATCTTGGGGCATCATCTTGGGGCTGAATTCTTAAAAGCCAAGCCAATTGTCCCAAAGGCAGTCTTCTGTCAATGCCTGTGCGAAGTGTGAAGCACCTTAGTGTCCTGAGACGACGGAAGTAGATAAAGGGTAGTGTGGATGGTTACCAAAGCTTCGGACTTGAAGAAACCACACCAATTGGTTTTGGTGGGGCTTGAGCTTGAGGATATGCCAGAAACAGGATATGCTTGAAAAATGATTGCGCCACATCCAAAACAGATTAGAGCACTTTCGCAGGATGGCGTGCCCAGGTTTGCAGGCACCACCACGCACAAGGCCTAACCAACATGCTGCTGTTACGGTCCTTGGTCTTTGGTTACTTTCATTTGGGTGCTTAAAGGCATAGGTCAGGGTTGGCAAATGTGTTTTGGAATTAGTGCTTTGCTCAGGTGTGAGTGAGGGTCTATTTCGCAACGTGCCCTGGACAGCCTACAAATAAACAAGCTGCTTTTAGGAATTCAATGACCAAGGATCAAGGACCTGACCCCACCCCTCAAGATTGCTTCCCCAGGGTTGGCCTGCCAGACTGGTGTGGGCATCCATGCATTTAATTGAGAACTCAGGGTCCAAACTTGCAAACTCCAGGTCCAAGCTGCAAGCTTGACAGTACCGCCTATGGGGCATGTGACCTGTGCACGATGCTGCGATCTGAGATGTTACGACGTAAACTGAGAAGCAAAGGTTTGCTCAGAGATGCCTGCTGCAGCCTTGCGCGAACGCGTGTTGTCGCCCGCCTATGTACAAGCCGAAGGCCCCAAAGCCAAAACATAATGGGGTGCGATGGGTGGTGTGATGGGTGCGTCGATGGGTGTGCTGGTGCAATAATAGGTGCAGTCTGCTGCTGGTCCGGTGCGACGGTACCGTCTGTAGGTGCATTGGTTCGCTCTGACGGGTGCGATCTACTGGTGCGATGGTACAGTCTGCCGGTGCGATGGGTGTACGGCTGCCAAGTACGGTCTGCTGGCACAGTGGGATGAACTGCGGCGCGATGTGTACGGTCTGCTGGCGAGGTGGGTGCGGTCTGTGCAACGGGTAATTACAACGTGGTCTCGTTAATTGGTATAAGGTGACTTATAGTGAAGGTTAGCAGAACTAGGAGTTGTGTATCTAAAGCCCCAGATACCATGAACAGAGTTTTTGGAGGGTGTAGTCTTGGTGGCTGGCGGAAAGCTAATGTCGGTGGATGTTCGAAATTGTTCCGCGCTTGTATCAAAATGGCTTCAGCGTGTGTCTGGATTCCGCCCTTCGCCCCCAGCTTTTTCAGGTCAGTTTCGACAACTTTTTTCAAGCCGGGCTTGCTCTTTCGCACGCTGTGGCGCCCAGTTCCGGGGAAAAGGAACCTGCTCGACATAAAGCAGGGGCCCGCAAACTGCAAACTACTTACGCTACTTAGTTATAAGCGCTGATACACCTAGACCTTATGAGTTATCTAAACTCGAGAGTCGCTCGAGGGCCTTACATGAATGCATGAGTACGGTAGGGCGCGTAAGGTGTGCCTGGTATGCGTACGGGCGCGCACGGTGCGCGTGAGGCGCGCGTGCGGTACGCAACGCGCGCGGTGTGCTCGCGCAAACTGTACGCCCACACACTGTTCGGAAGAAGTCTGCTGCGGTTTCTTCCAAAATTGCCGCCTTTTTTGTTTTTGGAAAATCTGCTCTGTGTTTTGTCAAAATCTGGCTTGGTTTCGCACGTTGAAGTACCAGAAAATGTCGCAGCATGCTTTGCCCAGATCGGATTGAAGGCGTAGCAGCAGTGTTGAGCTCCTGTCCAGAAAGGACTGAGAGCTGGCTACAACCATGAGTATCTTGACTGGTGACGAGGACGTTTTCTACACAAACCAGGTCTGACTGCCTGGCACCCACGAGGACGAGGAGGTTACGTAAGCAAGGTCAACTTCCAACAGACGCCCAACAACGAAGAGGTGTGTCACCTCACTAGACAGGGCGCCGCCGTGCTGCTCCTTGCCAAGATGGGGTCTGTCGTTTGACAAAACTTGCGCAGGCTGCGTGCTGAGCAGGTTTCCCTTTGGATGAAGACGCGGGCACAACAATTGCAACGAAACCGAGTTGCCGAAGCCATGCGACAAAGGATGCGAGCTCGAGGCAGACATCACGATGATCATCCGTGAGTGCAAGGTCTCATCACCAGGGCGCATCAAATTTTCAACAATGAGGTTGGCGCTGACCTCTCACGGCGAGCGTCAAGAAGCTGAGCCAGGATTCAACTAGCCGGCGCGCCACGTAGGGCGACCAACATCAATGGTCGCACACCCACGGCTACTGCAGCAAGGTCTTACGGCGAGGTGGCAGGAGATCATTCTGGTATTGAAGACGGACACCGCGTGTTCTTCACCAACTCACTTTTTTTTGAGAGATGGACAGGCCGACCCGCAGAGCCTTGCAGAGTGCCCCAGTTGCAGCTATCTTTGTGACTGATTTAGTAGCTGGTGCCAAATCAAAGCTCTCTTTTCCAGACCCAGAAGCAACAGAGTCGCATGGCTACAGGAACGTAGGTGCGATGCTCAAGTTCAAACAAATTTGTGTTGGTTTCGTTCTATGTTTTCAGGGCGACTGACCCTCGCTCCATCCTGTAGTATATGCCTCACGCCCTTGCCTTTGGACATCACAGCGCCACACGCGTAGACAGATAAAGTGCCTGCTACGTGCACACACGCATAGACAGAGAAAGTGGTTGCCGCGCGCGATTCAACTGAGACAAAAGCGTAAGAGCAGCCATTCTTTCGGCGCCCCTTTCAAGGAGGCGGGGAAGGGGTTGGGTATGGGGTTTGGGAAGGTCCGGTCTGACCGCTTCTTTCAAGCAGATGAAAGTTCCAACTTTGAAGGCAGACACATCACAGAGGCATAGTCTGCTTCAGGAAGCTGAGGCAAGGGAGCTATGTGAGGCAGGTAGGTGACACATGATCCCGCTTTGGTGCCTGTAGTTGCGTGTGGCCTGCAGCGCGCTGCGCGCTGAGGTATGTTTTGGGATGGTTTCCAGTGGGTGCCACGTGCCGACACAGGCCTGGAAGTGTTTGATTGGGAACCAACGACGCGCTGCGGTTTGCAGAAAGAAAAGCGGAGATTCCTTTGATCCCGCTTTTGGTTTTCTATTTCCGAGGAAGCTAGTTGGATGCCTCAAACAGATGGATGTCCAGGCTCGCAGCGTTTCGCGCACATACGGTGAGTCAAGAACCTGCAGGCTTTGACATTAAACTTGGTTCATAGGCATAGGCCCCCCAAGCTTCCCAGCTCTTGTCAACAATGGCAGGGTGATGTAAGGGTAACGATAGTCACAAAGAGTTGGCAGATGCTGCCAAATTTTTCCAACAACCAATTTGCTTCTGGGTGCACGAATGGAGCTCCCTGAGACAGGCGTCCCGGGCGGCAAACGACTCCCAGAGAGTAAGACGGTCCAGTGTTCAAGGTTGGACCTCGGCCCCGGCGAGCGTGGCAGGGATCAGCAATGACATCAACGCGTCGCGGAAGAATCGAAGATTGTATTTGGGCCGAAGGCTCAGAGCACGTTGTTCTGGCGTTTCAGTTTCGGATATTGACATGGCTACTCAGTGTTACAGAGGTAGACCGCGGAACCCCATCCCATTTTAGATGACATTGGGAGACAACCCCAGTGCCGAGTTTGCAAAGGTCTATGAGACTTATGCATTGCACTTAACCGGATAGCGCCTTTGATCACTAGTGCGGAACATGCACTTTTGTTTGACTGAAGTGTTGCAGGCTTGCGAGAACACCAGGAAGTTAGTGCCCACAGGAACCCTTGCCATCCAACGCGCCTTGAGTTGAGATTGGCCATTGATTTTGAGGGGCCGATTCTGGCGAATTGCCCATGACGGAATTGCCCATCCTTTGCAATCTGAGGCAACTTGCCATACCACCTAGGAGTCACAGAGGCGGAAGCTCTCGGCCACTGGTGAGCCAATGCCGCAATGTGTTCCGAAAGACACAGCAGTGTCGCGCTTGGCGGCCGACACCGGGCTCGATGTGAGATAGGGTTCCAAGACGTGTCCATTTGAGCGACAGGACTCCTTTTCGAAGCAGCTTTATGAGACCATGCGCGATCGTGGCATGTGCAACGACCCAAATCAGAATCCAGCCAGGTGCTTAGCTGTTGGATTAGAAGTTGGAATCTTGCCAGCTTGAGATGTGGGACGATTGGATGATTTGCATCGTTTGTGGCTGTTCACCCCACCGTGACAGGACGTTTGAAAATAGTGAAACTACTCGCCCCAAAACAAGGACCTTTTCTTGTGGGATTCTGAGGATCCCCCACACGCGCTCAGGTTCTTCATGTTTGGTTTGCCAGGGACAAGGGCGCCAACTACGGCTTTTGCGAGATCTCCTCGCAAGAGGCGGGGCGCTGTACATTTTTGTTCGACTTGGCGTGCCGCGGCAACTTTGATTTGCATTAGTGGCGGGGTGGTTTTAATACCTAATTGGGGAGCACAGGCAAAAAATGCTTTTCTTGAGCTTTCTTGCTACACTTGGTCGAACCAACAGTCAAAAGCATTTCGGTGCTACTTGCGTTGCGGTTTCTATGACTTGAGACAGACATTTCGGCCGGGCTTTGTGGTTTTGCTGGATGGCGCTCCCTGTACAGGGGAACGCAACAAACTCAGCTTCATGCTTCCATGGAGAGAATTGGGGCGGCGTGTGCGCATGCGATTTGATGATTACTTCTAGGAGACCGAGCGTGCGCTGCAACTGGACGGCGTGCTGGTCCTAGGCTGCGGGAGGGGAAAGTGCGGAAAGTCCGCCTTCCTCACGTTTCCCGTCCCCGCACGATGCTGTGAGTGCACTTGATTGTAATCATTTGGTTCTGACCAAAGTGAAACCAGCCCACAAACCTCTTTACACGTCCCTTGGGGTTTGACATTGCCAAGGCTGACTTTCAGGGCCCGAAAACAATCACATTAAGAGGATTAGGGGCCTAGGAGTCAGTGGCAAATGGACTTCCTAGATCCAAGGCCTTCACCCTTTGAGCTGGGAAGAGCTTGTCAATGTAAGCTAAGGCCTTAAATGAGAGCTTCAAGAACCCCCAAATAGTTGGACACAAAAAAGGAAACAGTCACAACAAAGAGGATCAGGGCCTCTTGCGGGCAACCCTCGTCGTGAGAATGTTTGCCCTTACTTTTTGTAAAGAAGTTATGAAAACAACTGAAGGTTTGGGTACCACCTCAAAAAAAGTGGTTTGTCCGACTTTGCCTTTTCCGGCCGAATTTATCTGGCATGCGTCCCGGCCAAGAATTGCCACACTTGAGGACCAAAGCAGTCAGAAGACATTGAATTGCGAAAAATACCACAAAGGGTAATCGAGTGGACTTCCAGGACTTGGGCTTGGGAGCATTGTTCTTTTATTTATGGGACAGCATGAGCTTTTTTGTTGTTTCAGTAAAGCATCCGAAGCCGGTAGAGGATAGAAGATGCAATCCACCCTTTGGCTAGCTAGGAGTATGATGACGCACTCTCACTCACTCACTCACTCACTCACTCACTCACTCACTCACTCACTCACTCACTCACTCACTCACTCACTCACTCACTCACTCACTCACTCACTCACTCACTCACTCACTCACTCACTCACTCACTCACTCACTCACTCACTCACTCACTCACTCACTCACTCACTCACTCACTCACTCACTCACTCACTCACTCACTCACTCACTCACTCACTCACTCACTCACTCACTCACTCACTCACTCACTCACTCACTCACTCACTCACTCACTCACTCACTCACTCACTCACTCACTCACTCACTCACTCACTCACTCACTCACTCACTCACTCACTCACTCACTCACTCACTCACTCACTCACTCACTCACTCACTCACTCACTCACTCACTCACTCACTCACTCACTCACTCACTCACTCACTCACTCACTCACTCACTCACTCACTCACTCACTCACTCACTCACTCACTCACTCACTCACTCACTCACTCACTCACTCACTCACTCACGCTCACTCACTCACTCACTCACTCACTCACTCACTCTCACTCACTACTCGCTCACACACTCACACTCACTCACTCACTCACTCAGGCACTCACTCACTCACACTCACTCACTCACTGCTCACTCACTCACTCACTCACTCACTCACTCACTCACTCACTCACTCACTCACTCACTCACTCACTCACTCACTCACTCACTCACTCACTCACTCACTCACTCACCCGCCCATTCGGTCTCGACGACACTTGTCCAACAAGGTGTTAAGTTGCCCCAAGCGCGCTCCCAGTATCTCTTCCTTCTGGAAGATTTTTGTTTTGCTTTCCACAAGTCTTCCGCATCTGTGTTTGAACTTCAACATGAGGTTATGGGAAAGAAGAACGCTGCCAAGCGACTTACAAGTCCGACAGGTTGTGAAAATTCACAAATTTACCGAAGAGTCTAAGCAACTTATAAGTCTCCTACATCCCAGAGCCCAGCCTTTGAACGAAAGAGTGATCGCAGCCATGATGACAATCATCGCTACAACCCCCAGCCAGCATCACCCGGTGACCATCAGAGTCACGACGCCGATGATGATAATGAAGGTGATGATGATGATCGGTCGCCAGCGCTACTGAGGACGCCCGGCGACTCAAGCCGGGGCCAGACGGGACGCTCTCAAGGTAAACCATCGCGAAGATGCAATGATCTTGGTTGTGAGCGCAGCCATGATGAAAAATCACCACGCACCCCCGGACACGTTTTCCATCAGATTGGCAGGGCCCGCCATGCTTGCAGCTGTTGAAGCCTGCGTACGTGTTTCACGCAGTCTTGTTCGTTCGGAGGAGCCGTTTGTGAGTGTCACCATGCGCATTATCATTACGAGTGTTGTAGCACTTGCGGCGCTTAACGTCGCAACTGCAGGATGATAATGACGATGGCTACAGCCCTTCCCGTGCGCCCCGCCCAGACATGCGCATGCTTTTAGGCAGTTTGCCCGGAGGCATTTTTCCTGGGCCACACGCCCCCTCGCGCCTGCTTTAGCGCCCGCCCCGGTTGTTCCATAACGCGCGCAGCTACTACCAGTTTTTGGCAGGGCCGCTGCCAATTTATACAATGTTTGAGTAATTCCCGGAGCAGATCCCGCATTTTGGGCAGAAGTTATAGCCGTTGTTTGCGGTAAAGTGGTTGCGAAATTGACAAGTTTGATTGGGCGCTGAGGTCAAAAATCTGAGTGCGCCACTTCTAGTGGTGTGTGGCCGCCTTTTTCGAGGGGGAAAGTGCGGAGGTTCAACGGAGGGCAAGCTCCAGAGGAACTGAGAAAGAGGGTCTTGAGAGAAGCAGAGGAGACCTTTCAGAGAGGCTAGGGATGATGCGTCAACAAGGAGGAGGCCAAGAACCTGCTGAGGTGTCGGAGAGGACCTCCATTGACGAGGAGCTGGGAGGTCAGCTTTGAGGCGGGCCACATGTTAAAGAGGAATCTGGATTTGCAGCCGAACCCGACAAACAGCCCCCAACATGCTGGAGAAGAGAGGGCAAAGCAATCTGGTCTGCACCAACCTGGCGTTGGCAGGCTTTCTGTGAGGCAATTCGGGGCACTGTTCGTTTGGGGGACTTGACGCATTAGCGCGCAGCTGAAAGCCTCTAGAATGACAACAAGCCCCCACGAGGCAGCGACACGCATGCTGGGATCGTGGCAAGGACCAAAGCTCGGATGGGCCACTCAGGCAAAGCAGAGTTTGAGGACAGGCGAAGGCCTTCAAGAAGGCTACACCTTTTCAAGACCAAGGGGTCACCAGCAGCTTGCAGCCAGAAGACCTCCCGGGCCAAGGACCTGAGGCCGCGCCGCAAGGCAGGCAACTCAAAAGCGGGCCTGGACTCCTGCGCCGGCATGTCCATCAACGACATTCTTTGTGCGCTGGAAGCATGGCGCGTAGGGGCAAGGAGTTTGCGGTCGAGGTCGGGAAGAGCTCCTATGTTCAGACATCGCAAGACCTCGTGCGACGCGCGGGCTAGCCTGTCACTGCCATCCAACAGCATTTCTGTGAGTTGGTGAGAAACGAAGGTCAGGTAAACCAACCCCCCAAACTGGTCAAGCCCTGAACCTTTTCCCTCACGTCCTGAACTTCAACCCTAAACTCTAAGTTCAAAATCTGAAGGCAAAGTTGGAGGGCAAGTTAAACCCTAAGCATGAGCCGTAAACTAAGGGGTTGAACCCTAAACCTGAATTTTACAACCTCGAACTTGAAACCTCAAAACCCTAAACCTACACCGGATACTGGAGCAAGGTGGCTCTGGGCGAGCCACACGTGCTGCAGGTGTGCTTGGTATGTGTGTGTGTGCCCGTGTATGTGTGTGTGTCTGTATGTGCGTGTGTCTATGCAAGTTTGTGCAGTAATGTATGTGTGTGTGCTGTAATGTGTGTATGTGCGTATGTATGTGTGCCTGTGCGCATGTGTTTGTGTGCTGTAACGCGTGCGTGTACAAATGCACGTGTGTGTGTGCACGTATGTATGGCATGTGTGTGTGTGTGAGTATGTGTGTAGTGTGTGTATTTATGTATGGCTGAATGTATTCACGTACGTATGCGCGTATGTTTGTTATTCTTCATGTTTCAGCGCACGCGCGCATCCAGGAACACGGCAATGTCTGCGTGTAACCAGGCAATGCGTGCAACGCATGCCCTTAACCATCTAACGTAATGCAACGCAACGTGTAGTAGCGCAACGCAACGTAGTGTAAGCGCGATCTCCAGGAGGCTGTGAGTCGCCCTGGACCGTATGAGCTCAGAATGGCTTTGGTGTCGCGAGGACAAGCTATTTCAGAGCGTGAAATTTCGCAAGCCTTTCAGTTGCCCGCGCAAGTTACCAAGGCCGATCGGCCGAGTTCTCACTGTCACGGGGGGGCCAACGAGCGCAAGCGGCCGAGGACATTAGCTCAAAAAGCCAAAGTAACTTGGGACTCGGAGCTTCCTGGCTAAGCAGTATGTGTGCGTGCGTACGGCAATGCAAGGCAAATTCAGGCAACAAATATCAAACGTATGTATAATTATATTTACTCATATGCATATTCGTAAATCTGCATCTGTGTATGCTAGGCTACGCGGATATGTGTACGCATGTATACATGTGTTTGCGCGCACACACACACACGCAAGCGCACACACACACACACGCAAGTGTGTGTGTGTGTGTGTGCATGTGTACGCACGCACTGTATGCACGCAGGTGGTAACTTTCTCAAACATCAAGAACTATTACTTCTGTTCTCTTCAGTTGTGTCAACGCGTTTCCGCTTCTTCTGTCTTTTCTTTCTTGTTTCTCCTTTCGTTCTTCCTTTCTTCATTTCTTTTTCGCTTTTGGTTCTTTCCGAATCTTTTTATTGTATCTCTCTCCCCCCCTTTTGCTCTCCATCCATCTAACCAGCCATCTATGTCTCTCTCTCTCACTCGATCTATTTTCGTGTTTGGCTGTTTATCTAACTACTTTTTTTTAAACAAAGAGCGCAGAAACCATCTTCACAGCGTTGCCCATCGCAAGCCCATTGTATCTACAGCTTGTTGTACTTCAACTCCATCAGCTGCGTCGGCTCGTGGCTTTCTTTCATTGTTTCTAGTCCATCTTCGACTGCCGCAAACTTGTAGCCAGCATCTAGCACATGGCTGGTTTGTCTTGCTCGGCGCTCTAAACAAGTCTTGCTCTGTGTCCGGCATATCATGAATGCGCGCTAGAAACAACGAAGCGCAGCAACATCGTAGTTGCGTGTTCCATTCGAGACATAGCGGTATCAAGAACACAGGCCCGTATCAGCCTACGCAGGTCCATAGTTCCCGTGAAAAACACATCCGACAAGGATACAGTCTGCAGCGAAGCAAGTGAGTGCCAGGTGTACCAGTGTCCATCAAGCGGCCGAACGATGCAGCGGCTTTGCTGGATCATGCTCGGTCCATGTGACATCCATCATGTTGGTTGTTCTTCTGGGATGAGCCACGCTCAGGTCAGCCCCCTGGGTATGATTGGTGGCGTGCCTGTAGGCATGCAGATGCCAGGCGCGCACGGTGGACAGGGCCGAGATTCAATTGTGCAGGATTGCTCGTACTTCAAGCTTCGGCAATTTTATTTTGAAGAGGCACGGGCATGGGCATGGTTATTTTGTTGTAAATGCCACGCGCTGTGGTAAAGCTGCAGGGTCGTACCCCGCATTTGGCACAAGTTTACGCTCCAAGTCATCGCATGTTCTTTTTCGCGAAGCGCGCGCTGTTGGCAAGAGCTGCGCGTTGCGCAGCTGCTGTGGATAGGCCGCGTTGGAGAACAAGACGGCTCGCGAAGGCTATGTGTATTCTGTGTTGCCGCCGGCGCTCCTGTGAACTTTGTTGTCGCCAGCCGCAACAGGCCCCTTGAGGCTGAAGGCCGCTACTTATATGTCGTCGGTGGCATTTTCCAGTGGGTCTTGGGGTGTTGGCATACTATGGAGCTGGGCGATCCACCAGCCGTCACACTACTATCGATGCCCAGACAGGACCGCGCTGATTGAGCGCAGCTTGATTTCTTCGGACCTGCGTGCGCAAAACCCTGGGCGATGCTCGGCGTTTTTCCGAAGCCTCTTTGAAAGAACGTCCAAAGCGCGGACTTGCTGCAGCGCATTGTTGCCAATTACTACTTGTTGTTTTTGTCTTTGCCGCTGGGCAGAAATCGGAGCTGTGCGCAACGCCCAAGGTGTTTTCCCCTTGTAAGAAGGGTGTTTTCCTTTAGGTACCTGCTGCAAATGTTTTTGTTTTGAAGCAATCCAATATTACATGTTTCGGCTGAAGAAGAAAAGCTGCCGAGCCGTGTAGTTGCGCGTAGCTCAGGAAGATTGCTGTTTGCCCACAGCTTCGGCAATTCTGCTTCAATAGAGTTCGCGGATGATTTTGACGATTCAGATTGAGTTTCCACCAAAGCAATATGTACACCAACGCTGTTCCACCGCGCATGTGTCTTTTGCACTCCTGAGCTTCATAGGCCAACTGCGAACAACAGCAAGACCTATGGTCAGGACAAGGCTAATACAAACGCTTGTGCTACTTGCGTGTGTTGGCCTGTTCGCATCTATGGTCGCTGTGGGGTGTGGGTGCACAAGTCAAGAGAGAAGTCCTAACATTCTCATGCCCACTACAGCGCACAAGTTCTGCTTCGAGTGTTGGGATGCGGCGAGGTCAGGGCGGCATGCTGGCGCTGCCATCAGCCCAGGCCAGGCGTGTTGAATTGACCCATGTAGCCAGACGGACGCCATGTTTGGGCTCAATCCTGTTCGGACATTGGACCGTTACGCTCATTGGACCGTCACGCGTTTCAACACACGTCAGTCTTGGCGACGGCCTCGCAGCACCTTTCTGCGCAAGGTGAGCGCCACCAGCCCCATCATTAGGATTGATGAGATTCTCAAGGTGGACGAGAAGACTACGCAGGCATGCCTGGCGCTGGGTGTTTGCTCTTGCTCCCAAGCTTTGGGGAAAATCAAGACCCGAGTGGGTCTGCCCTTGCAGCTGCTTCACTTTAAGGCCCTTACCTGTTTCTGTCATTTGTAATACGCACGTAGAACCCCCATTACAAGGGGATTTGGGTTGCAGCCCGGGTGTGTCAAGCGGCGAAGCCGCGAAGCGCAGAGGCGCAATAATCCGCAGAAGCCAAGAAGCGCAGAAGCGCAGAAACGCAATTAACCGTAAAAGCCGAGAAGCGCAGAAGCGCCGATGGGGCGCGAGGCGCAGCAAGGCGCAGAAGCGCAGCGCAGAGCAGACGCGGAGCAAAGCGCAGATGCAATGAAGCGAGCTAATGCATACCCCCCCTCCCCCCCCCAAGGTCACAAGGTCAGGTCTGTCATTTTTTTGAGGGCCCCCCCCCCCAATAGTGGGAAGGGGAACCTTGTGGGAAGGTCAGGCGAGGGAACCTTGTGGGAAGGTCAGGACCTTGTGGGAAGGTCAGGTGAGGGAACTTGTGCCTGCGCAAAAGTGTGGCAAGTTAAAATTTGATTAAAAACGCATGATGTAGCGGGGGGTTTGGGGGAGGGGAGCTTTAATAGGGGGGGGGGGGGGGTTCGGGGGAATTTTTTGTTATTGTGGGGGTGCCAGGGCAGATTCCTGGGTTTCAATTAAAACGAGTATTGGCGAGGGATTTTCAAGGAAAACCAGGCGCTTTAATAGGGGGGGGTTATTAATCCTGGGTCAGCATTAACGCGCAGAAGCGTACAAGCGCAATAAAGAGTAGAAGTGCAATAAGGCGCAGAAGCGTAAAAGCGCAACAACGCGTAGAGGCGTAGAAGCGCAGTTAAGCGCAGAAGCGTGGCTCTAGGCTTAACGCGGCTTCAGGCTTCTAGGCCTTTAGGCCTCTCAGCGACGTAGATTTTGGCGGCTTCCATGCTTCAATCTGAATGGCACAGTCTTGAAAGCAAGGGTGCGTGGGACTACAACACTGTGCGTGAATGGTTGCAAGTCGTCAAAGAGGCCAAAAGTAAAGGTGGAAAGGTCCGTTGGCAAAATATTTCAGATTTGTGTTGAACAAGGGAAGTGAACTCCAGAAGGGAAACCGTCTCCAAGGCAGGGCCGTGTTTCAAGGAAGCGTTGTAAAAGACGGGAACGCAGAACAAGCTCTATTTGCAGAACTTGGGCTCTACGATGGAAGCGGCTAAGGCCATTGACGCTTATGGGACAATGCCTGGGAAGTGCGCTCAGCAGTCGGATGCGTACACTTAAGCACTGTACAAGGGACTAGGAACATGGGTGCGCCTTCCTAAGTATCGCTGGCCGAAAGGCTGGGTGAAGAAGTTCAGCGATCCGGTAGCGCAACTCATTCTCGCTCTCCATGGTCACCCTGATTCAGGGGGCCTATTACGAAGATATTTTATAATCCCTTGGTTGTTGTTTGATATTCCCTGGAGCATGGCCTTCCGCATTCTGGCGTCCCAAACTTCGGCTCCTGCTTGCGGTGTCTGTCGGTGATCTCAAGATGTCAGGTCCAATCCGGAACGTGGATGAAGGTTGGTCGTTGGTTTCCCCGAAGATCGATATGGACCCACCGACCGCTGTAGGTGTAGGTAGATATCTCGGGTGTGAGCGCGTTGTAACGGAGAAGGTTCAACTTTCTCCAAGACATCATCCCTTTGGTCATGGGAACATCACCCAGAGCATGGCGTGGTTGTATGTCAACATGAGCAACCAAGGCGAATGTTTCGCCGCACGCTTGACGGTGTTGCCAAAGAGATTGGCTTTGAGAAAGATGGCGACGCAAAGCAACATTGGCACTTCGATGACAAGGATGAGCATATCCAAACTGTTCCCTTTCTCTGGGTTGGGACTATCTATTTCTTCCAGGTAATGCCCGCCCAGCGGCGGCGGCCGTGAAGAAGCTGAGGGAGAAGCCGCCAGCCAAAAAGGCTAATAGAGCTAAAGGTTTTGCATACCTTGACACCATGCGTGGAGAAACCTGTTACCGTGGTGACCTATGACATGACTGGGTTTCTCCAACAATGCCTTGGCAGGTATGTTGAGCTTGCGGGGGGGCAACGTGAAACACAAGAAGGTGTCTACTCCTTTTCAAGATGACCGAAATTGCAAGACCCACTACGGACAATTCAGAAAAGAAGGGCGTTCTTCAACCTATTGCTTCCAAAACGCGTATTAAGGTACCGTCGCAAAATGGTTCGTTGATTGTGCGCTTTTTCGGTCGATGCGATATGTTTATACCACTGTTGATTTGGAAGAAGCACGGCTTTTTTAGGGATCCGTCATCGCAGACCCGACTTTGGTAATTTGCGGACTCTGATCACGCAGGTGAACACGATTCGTGCAGCGCAGCAGGATGTTGTCTTGCTCTAATCGGCTAATCGGACCCAACGCTTTGTATCCTTTGCTTGCTTTCTCGAAGAAGCAGACATCGACGGCCATGTCATCAACTGAGACTGAGGTAATTGAATCAAATGTTGCTCTACGTGCCGTTGGACTTCCGTCTTCCTGCCTCTGGGAAGTTGGCGGGGGGTGGTGGCAAGCCCAACGTGCACAATTACCCCACCAAAAACTTCAGACTATTGGTTGCATGATGTCACCCAAGGTTGCATAAGCAGAGTCCACAACAAAAAGAGGAACCAGCTTTATATTCCCATGAATGACGGTTGACCGGTCAGGACCGAGGCCTTATCCAGCATGAGGTATACGGTTCAACTCTTTGAGGATCGCAATATCGACCTTGATGTCTCCAAACTAGGCGCCAACCAGCAGACTAAATCCACATGGACAGGCAAGACCCACTTCTTCGGGTTCTGGTGAAGTCGACCTTAACATCGAGGCAAAACACATCACGGACTTTGATTATGTTGGAAACGCACAAATTGGAAATGAAAATGATGGCCGCGGTGTCGCCACGCCATCGTATCCTGGTGGAAGCGTGTTGCTCGCATGAGTGAAAGCCTGCTGATACTTCACGTTGTCCTGTTGAAGGCTGTTACATCAGTCGCATTTCCCAGGATGACGATGTTCTCTCTCGTGCTACAAGATTGCGTGTCATCGACGAGGCCAAGAACGTTCGATTTTTGAATCCCAAAGAGAAAGTTCCCGTGTTGATATGGGCGAGCGTTCCATGTACCGGTGGCACTTCCTGGTCTCAATTCAACATGAACCACAACACTGCGAGGGAGAAGGTCAGACGTCATCGATCCATGTGCAAGAGAATTTGGTCAGCGTTTGTTGATCTTGTGAATTTGGTGGAGTTTGCGAAGCCTTTCATCGCTATCGAACGGCCAGGAAGTTGCACGTATTGGTATCCCTTTCAACATGACCCCAGTCAAGTTTGATGGTTGCGCTGTACGTGTGAACACTGTTGACGGTACACCCATCAAAAGCCGTGGACTCTTAAAACCATCATGCGCTGTCTTCACAACTACTTGGATGGGAGAATTGGTTCATGTGTTGTTGATCATGTGGAAGGTGTGGGATTGAACCTTTAAAATACTGAACCCTACCTGCATGGTATGACGGACTTGATTCACAACGCCTTTGCGTATGCAGTTTCGGTTCAACTCAAAGGTGCTATTTCACTCATTGCGGTCATGGCCGAACCGGAGCCGACCGAGAAGGTCCTCAAGAGGGTGAAACCGGCGTTTGGCCCGCGAAATCTCGTGGCCGTTCCCATCACGCGTGTGGGTTATTCTGACTATATCATCCACAATGGGGTCGCTTTTTCCGGATCCTTGGTCCGACATGTTTCGCGACGCCGCCTTTTACCGTCAAGTGTGTCAATTGCGCGGCGTGGGCCTGGCCAAAATGAGCAAGAGGACCGACGCACTTGCGCTTGTCAAGAAGGCGCTCAGCTCTATCTCTCCGATGGCAACGGGGATCCTAAAGACGGCGCCGATCGAGCCTTCGATGAGAACCCGCGCTCAATTGCCTCTTTAAGAGGTCTTTACTCGGCCCCCACGCGGCGTGGTCTGGGAACGATCTTTTCGGTCGCAACGGCTACACTTCAATGGGCGTTATTGAGCGGAATGCTCGCAGCGATGACTGCGCATGACCGTCTACGACATCTTGCTCATTGTTCTACGCGATTACGAAGCCCTTGGCCTGACAGGGTCGTACAAAATTCAGATGGGCGATCGTGCCCGTGTTTGCAGTTATGGCGGGCGCATCGCGGTGTTGGACCCGCAAACCCTCATTAGCTACACATCCCGGTCCGACAAGCTGCAGAGTGACGACGCTGAGTTGAACCGAGGGCATTACGTTCAGTACCTCGCCGCGGCCTACGTCTACCACGGGGGACGATTCTCGAAACTGTTCTGGTTGTTTAGTTGATTTTCGTCGAGACTGAGATCCCGCACATTCAGGTGCCAGGCCGCAAGGCCCCTCTCCCCAGCGTTGCGGGTGTGACAAGGAAGCCTATCAGCTCTGGGAAACCGGAGCCATTTGCAACACTAGTGGGACTCATGGTGGAAGAAGACCGACGACCCTGGAAGAATCCCCGCAATTGGAACTGGCGCTGAGTGTATGGCAGGGATCAATTTACTTGTTCAAATCTCAACCCATTTCATTACAGTATTGATTATGTTTATTGAAAATCCGATGTACAGCTGTAGGCGATGGCCAGTGGAGACGGAAGATCTTAGCTGGCCTCTGCTGGAGCACAAAGTGCCTTTTCCTGTCCGTCTCGGGTTTATTTGGTTGTTTCTGATCCCTAATATTTGTCCTCCTGTTTCACCGTCGGACCGGGGGCGTGTGTTTTCCTAAACGATGATTTATCAACCTCAAGAACCCTAGACAGCTTCGGCATACTCGCTGCGCATGCTCAAGAAAAGCGCGCTTACCTCAGGGTTGAATGTTGGCCCTTTCAGGCTGTTTTGCCTCATCCATACGCAGCAAGGCGCACAAGTGCAGCAAAGCACAGAGCGCAGCAAAGTGCAGAAGCGCAATGAAGCGCAATTGAGCGTAGAAGCGTAGCAGCGCAGTATAAGGCGGAGAATCGCAAGTAAAGCGTAGAAGCGCAGTATATCGTGGAAGCGCAGAACCGCAATAAAACGTAGAAGCGCAGTAAAGCGTAGGCTTCTAGGCTTCTCCGCGTCGTAGATTTTGGCAGCTTCTTTGCTTCTAGGCGTGACACCGGTGTTCGCTTCTAAGCTTCTAGGCTTCTAGGCCTGGCGCCAGTATTAGGCTTCTAGAAGCTTCTAGACGTCTAGGCTTCTAGGCGTGACGTCGGTGTTAGGCTAGGCTTCTAGGCTTCTAGGCTTCTAATCGTGACGCCAGTGTTAGGCTTCTAGGCTTCTAGGCTTCTAGGCTTCCAGGCGTTACGCTCTAAAGTTTTTTACTTGGGCCCTTGTTATGGGCTGCTAATGGCTGAAAAATACATACACTATATATACCCCTTACGTATTGGGTACGTAGCACAAGGACCTGGTGGCTGGATGTGTGCGTTTCTCAACTGCTGCCTCTGGAGTAGCAATCTTTGACGACAGCAATCTTGAAAGGTTCCAACTCCACTGGGACTCTTCGTGCCAAGCCCCCAAACCCCGGTCCCAAAAATAGGGGCCCATTCAGGAAACCCACTGGCACAGACAGTTTCCTGAATGGGCCCCTATTTTGGGAACTCAGATGTTTGGGTCCTTGGTTGCCTTTTTGCTGAAATCAAACTTGCAGACTTGCGTTCGTTGGAACTATCGTCTCTCTCGCCAGCAACCCCAAACCCCCCTTACTCTCGAATCCGCGCTTAAGCTTGTTAAAGTAATCATGGCCGAATGGGACATATACAAAACAGCGTCAGAAGAAGGGATTATTTTCAAGGGACCATTTCCCACAGATATGGGCCATAAATTGCCGTCAAATTGCACATTAAAAATTCGTGGCTAGTTGCTGCTGTCTTTCCATTAACATCATCCTGAGCTTCCCACATCAGCATCGCTTGAAACAGCAGCCGCCTTCCACAATGTGGGCCTTTACAACACAAGGATCCCTTTTTTCTGGGAATCATTCAGGGCTTTGTGGGGGCCGCACTTTTTTGGAAGGATGACTACACAGACGTGAAGGAGGACATGCAAGAGGGCTGCGGAGCCCACGGCAAGCTCATTATGGCCGCGTGCCTGCAGAGGGCCCAACACGATTTGTTGGTCGGGCCGCCCCGTATGAACGCTTTAACGAGGGCTCGCCCCAGCTGATCCCCCAATTGAAGGGTCTGTGATTTGCCGCCGACACAAAGGAACATGAGGGAGCAGGCGCAAGTTGTCTTTGCGAAGGGCTCCCGGAAAATGACCAGCGCGCTCGCGCCAGTGAGCTTGCGCCATAGATCTTGCGCAAGAGAACCCGCGGAGACATTGCGCAATCTCACAAGGGAGCTTGCGCCAAAGAGTTTTCAACAGAGAACTTGCACAAATATTTGTCGCAAGAGAACGGGATATCCTTCACAGCTTCACAGGAGAGTTTGCGCCAGAGAGCCTGCGCCAGAGAACATGCACAGGCTTGCGCAAGAGATTTTCCCCCGGAGAAACTGCGTCAGATAATTTGCAAGAGGGAAAACTACACGAGGAATCTTGCGCGAGGACTTGTGCCAGAGAAACTGCGCCAGAGAACTTGCGCGAGCCCGCGTAGACATTGCGGCCGCTGGGTCGGTAGTACTTTTCCACGCGCAGACGACGTGTTTCGATGAGAGCACCTCCAGAGATGGGTGCGGGCAGGCTCTGACTCTCGGCATGTTGCGGAGTGTGCAAATGGTGTCTTGGCATGCAGCCATGAGAAGAAATGAGTGAGCCCACGGTTCAAGAGGCTTGTGACCGTAAAGAAACGATCGGAAGAATGTGGTCGGTTGGTCTCTTGGAGCTGGCTGGGTGTTTTGTGCTGGCTGTGCGTGCTGCTGCGGACCATGCGCAAGGATGAACTTGCCTGGCCCACGAGCCCCCTAATAAACGCGACAGCGCCTGGCGCCTCCCCAGCCCGCCAATGCGATTTGACACAGAGCTTGAAGCTGGTCCTCAAGGCGGGGCCCCTATGTCATCAGTATGTTACGAATACCTTATAAGCATGTTACTTTAGATCTGTCTTGGTCTCTGTCTCTGTCTCTGTCTCCGTCTCTCTCTCTCTCTCTCTGTCTCCCTCACTCTTGCTCTCTCTTTCTCTCTCTTTCCCACTCTCTCTTTCCCTCTCTCTCTTTTCCTCTCTCTCTCTCTCTCTCTCTCTGTCTCTCTCCCTGTCTCTCTCTCTCTCCCTCTCCTCTCTTTCTCTTTCTTTGTTTGCACTGCAGCCACATGTCCCCCTGAGTTGCCTCGATGTCCGCGACCCCTGAATTGTCTTCGTACTTCTTGCTTTCCTTTCTACTTGGCTTCCTTTATATCCTTTTCATGTCTTGTCATTTTTCGAGGGTGTCCTCGTCATGTCCCCTTCCATTCTTTTCAATTCCCCTTTCATGTCCCTGCCATTTTCTCGGTATGTCCGCTTCATATTCCATGTGTGTCCCTTTCTTTCACTGCCAGTCATTTCCTTACATCTCCCTTCCTGTCCTTTGGTTTCCTTGTCCTTTGTTTGCCCCTCACCCCTTTAGTTCCCCCCCTTCCTTTCCCTTTCATTTCCACGTGCTTTCCTGTCATGTCAAATCCCCGTCCCCTGCGCGTCCTTGCATTTCCCTTTATGTCCTCCTCTCATTTGCATTTCCCCGGTATTATCCCGACAAAAAGCACGGTTTTGCCCACATTTTCGTCAAACGGGATGTCAAAATCACAGAGTTTTTCAAGATTTTCGGCAAAAGGAGGCAGAAGACTATTTTCAGTGGAACGCCATCAGCGGGACCCCTACGTACCCAGACGTCGGGATAAATTAGATAGAATTTCACAAGTTACTTACTGAGCTTCTGCGCTTTAGAGCAGAACTTACTTATACGTTGGAGCAGAAGTGACTTATATAACCTAGCTTCGGGGTTTCAAGAGCACTGGCTGGAAAAAGCTGCGTTTGGGTTGTTTTTCAATTTCTTCCTTTACAAGAGGATTTCAATGCGCGGCGCTCTGCAAGACTGGCGTCCGACCAGACTGATGCCGGCCCCTGTAGCCGCTTCGACGCTGCTGGGCCGCAGGCGCGACGAGGTCAGGGCAGATCGCACGGCGTATTTTCCTTTGTTTCAGTCCGTCAAGGCTGCCTGCGTGCAGGGATAAGGCGGCATCGGCGCCTGTGGCACTGTACTTAGAGAAGCTGCTAGCAGACCCCAAAGATCTGCCATGGCCATACCTGTAAATGCCGCCGATCTGGCCACGCACGCCGCGCAGTGCCCGCAGGGAAAGAAAAAGCTTGCTGCAGACGGTTCAGAAGGCCAAGCCAGAGCCGCGCGTCACTTAAAGGCATATTGTTTTTCAAATCGACTTTTTTCAATGTAAAATCGACTTTTTTTTCCGGCAAACTTTCCTGCTTTTCAATGCGCGATAACAAGATACTGGGATAGATTCTGGAGGTGTCACCGCAAGGCGTTTCCGCTTGAATCCCACATCGGTACATGGTGGTTTGGGGGGGGCGTTTCCCACAGGACCCGCTTGCAGCCCTGAGCTATTTCGAAGTTCGAAGCCAGTGCCCTGTTATCATTTGCTTGCGTTGGACCACATGTGCATGCCGATTTTTTTTAGTGTGTTCTAAGTCCGCCAACTGCTACCCCAAATGGTACCCAACACGCGGAAAATCATACAGCACAATGTGAGCGTTGCAATCCCCAAGCAAGCGGCGAACATACTCTTTTCTTCCGCGAGTCTGCGCTGCGCGAGGTCACCGCGACTGCCGCCAGTCGTCCGGCGCATCATCGCCAGTGGCTGGGCTGCCAGGACTGCCACCCGTCGTCGCCGTCCCAGCGCTGGCTGTCCCAGTGGCTGGGCTGCTCCGAATCAGAGGTGGTGCGCCACGGCGCAGCAGCTTCGCGCCACTGCTGCTGCTGCTGCTGCTGCTGCTGCTGCTGGCTTTGCTGCAGCGCCTCGGCGGGATCTTCCCAGCGCTGGCCTTGCCAGTGGCTGGGCTGATCTTGATTTGACCCCGAGCGCTGGCTACGCCAGTAGCTCGGCGGGTCGTTCGCCTCACGTGCGCGGAGTGCTTCGCAGTGCATCTCGTGCTGCTGCAAAGCCCACACATCATCGCGGGCGATTGTTCTTGGGCAGCCATGAGGGCAGCGCACGCGGTGGGCCAGTTGGCCACTGGAAGTGGCAGCGCACCGGCTGCTGGTGGTCTGACGCGCGCGCAGCGCCAGCATGTCGCCTTTGATAGTTTGCCCACAGATGTCGCACTGAATCACTGGAGCAAACCTATGGCGCATCGGCGGACGAGCCGCTGGGGGCGGCGGCGGCAGCTGCAGATCCGGGCTGCTTGTTGTTGGCGCTGGCGCTTGCGCGTCGCCAGTAGCAGGTGCTGCTTGCGCTGCTTGGCTGGCAGTGGCAAGTGCGGCCTGCGCTGGCTGAGTGGTGGCTGCTGCTGCACCTTGCGAAGCTGACTGTGCTGGCTGGGATTGGCCGGTAGCTGCTGCTGCTGCTGCTGCTGCTGCTGCAGGGGGCGCTTGCTGCGCTGGCTGGGCTTGGCCAGTGGCAGCAGCAGGAGGCGCCTGCTGTGCTGGCTGGGATTTGCCAGTGACGGCAGCTGCAAGGGGCGCTTGCTGCGGTGGCTGTGCTTGGCCCGTGGCATCAGCGGGGCGTGCTTGCTGCGCTGGCTGGGTTTGGCCAGTAGCAGCAGCCGCAGGGGGCGCCTGCTGCGCTGGCTGGCTGTGACTTGTCACTGCGGTGGCAGCAGCGCCAGGCGCGTGTGCTGCTGGCTGCTTTGGGGCGGCCGAAGCAGGCGCCGCTTCCTGCTTTGGCTTCCCGCTTGGAGGCGGCTGGGCATCTTTCCCCGCCGCTGATGGCCGAGCCAGTAGCCATCGCAGACGCAGCACTGGGCTGCTTGGGCGCGGCCGGGTCTGGCAGTAGGCTGCCGGAGCTTGCCGCTGCTGGCACGCCAGGCGTGCCGCCTTGGCCAGGGGGCGGCGTTGGCCGAGGCTCACACCCCAGGGCAATTTGCGCCCACGTTGCTTTGTTTCTAGTCTGTGTTTTCGGCGGCATGGCGAGGGCGTCAGAGGGCAGAAAACTAAGACTACAAGCTTGACATTGACCGGGGGCGACAACATAGCTAATTTGAGACTTGTGGCTGGGCCCTGACATGACTCTGTGGCGACGGCATGACCTGACAGCCAGACCAGACTGATAATGATTTTGAGCCAAACAGCCAAAGGGTTCAATGCAAAATCATTGACGTTTGTGAAGTATTTCAACACGATGGACCCTGGACCAAGCAACATAAAAGACACAACGCAATGCTTTTTCCCTCAGAGCCAAAGAGTGCCTAACCCAGTGCCAAAGGCCTTGCAAGCGGGGCGGCCATGCCTACTTGGCAAGCTCAACCGCTTGCCCTGCTGTGACAGTGGTGCTGGCGGCGAGGACTATCATGGGGCGCACGGGCTGCAAACCGCGGGCAGACCACTTCACTGCCCACAGCAGATGCGTGCGAGACGTTTCCCAGCAGGATGTTTCCAGACAGCCTGCCAAGCTGGTCAGTGCCACAGTTACGCAGCCATCTGCGCTTTTCTTGTCCTCGGGGGCGGGTGCGTTCTCTGGACGGAATAGCACCTGGTTCTTCACCTGAAGCAAAGTCGTGGTAGCAGATTACGACGCTGAGGGGCGTCAGCGCACGCTTCTGCGCCACGACTTGCCCCACAGTGGCGACTTTACCTTCAAAGACGACGAGGCTATTGCTATCGTGAAGCTGGTACAAGCAGTCCGACGCGCGAAGCTGCAAGCCATCTGCTTCGGCTTTTCGGTCGCCCTGCAGAAGAAATTTGCCTGAAGATTCTTTTGCCGATGGTGATCGCCATCTTCAGGGCATTCCCCTTGTTCTTGGCTGCGCCTGACGGCAGTGCTGCTTGCCAGCACAGAGGTTTTGGCAGCTCAGCCAAGGGGATTGACTTGGCTTCCACCAACTCGGTCTTCAGAACTTTCCGAGGTGGCTGCCCTGACTCGCTCCCAGCGGACTCTCGCTTGACCGGGGTCCCAGAGCCACCGGCCACGCTTGCAGGTCTGCTGCTGCTAGGGTC